TATTTCCTGACTTTTCCCTGATCAAAATAAAATTTCCCCGACCAAATAAATACGAAATGTCAGATACAGTGGCGACCTCCAGGCTCCTTGTGCCGCCCTAATTTCCACCCATGAGTTTTAGACTGATAAGTTTTCAACAGCTTTGGCCTTCTTCATTCAGGAAAAACATCGTTGAGATCACAAGTGACCCGAAATGTTTCTTCCAGCCTCCACTGGCATTAAATCAGTGGTGTTATAAATTCAATTTTCTCTCATTTTTCTTCAAAAAATCAATTTTCCCTGACAAAAAATATAATTCCCTGACTTTTCCTGACCATGAAGAATTTTTTGCCCTGACTATTTCATGAATCCCGTCCGGTACTGAGATTTGCTCTTTGATGCAGACTTCTAACATAAAGGAAATTACATCTTTTTAACTTGTTCCATATTTCACACTTCTTTTATGGCCCCGTTTCATTTGGAAGTCATCAAAGATTGCAAAAGAAAGCTACAGTCATATATTAAACCCCCGACGTCTAATTTGAAGTAGGTTGTGTTACGGCCGCCAGCACGAGAAAAAAGACTCTGTGGGCGTGCGGGCCCGCGTTTCGTTTCGTTTCATTGCCTTGCGTTACGTTGAGCTGCGTTTCGTACCGTACCGTGTTTTGGCTGAGCTACGTGATAAAAACCACACCTGACAAAATGGACTTCACACGACAGCATTTTCTCCATAAGTTCTGCGATAGACGTCTACAAGATAAAAAAAAGGCATGCAATTTTCAAAGTGCTTCGTATTAAGCCTTTTAGCTGGAAGCGAGGACCCCAAATCTACCTCTCTATGTAAGTCTCTGTGTCGGCTTAAACTTCGCCTTTTTTAAACGGCAGGAAAATTTGAAACGCCCCTTTGCAACGCTTCGAGAGAGCAACATTGTGCGAAAATTGACATAACTGGTCAAATCGCGTAAGGCTATATTTTGACTTTCCTTTTTCATCACGAGTACTTCGTTGAACTTCATCATGACAGAGATAAACCATATATTACGCTTATTAATGCCCGGACTCACCCTTAACTGAGATCCAAGTGTATAAAAACCTTGCTTAGCTTGTTTAGTCTCCGTTAAAGCCAAGTGTTGCACACTAAATGTGAAAGTCAATACATGGCGTTGTTAGTAGTCAGCTTTACTTACAGTGAAAAAAAAAGAGACCCTTCATCTCTCAGTTACTACAAACGCTGTGATTGGTCATTTCAGAGACTCTACTGTACAGCTCGCGTAAATTTGACGCAGTTTTTGCCGCCAAAATGTCTCATTATTTAAATGAGTAAAACATTGCGTATCCTTAAAATTTTGAAGACTTGTCTGTTAAAATCTGCTAACGACTTCGCAAGGATTTCGAAATCTCGAGGTGACTGATTTTATTCTTGAGCCATAAACGCCGATCCTTTGAAGCTGTTCCGTGTGACCTCGTCTTCTCAGTCCGTACTTGTAGGTTACGGATCCTCCATTTCGCCCCTTTGATTTATGGCTGGTGCCAGCGTTACAAATGACATTAGATAGAGAGGAAGCCACATCCGCCTTACCTGGTTTTCATGCGCGTTCTCTATCCTGGTCGAATTGGAATTTGGAGATGTTGGATTTGTGCAGGGAGGAAAACCGGAGAACCCGGAAAAAAACCCTCAACCTCGGAGCAAGGCGAGAACCAACAACAAACTCAACCCACATGTGACACCGGGCCCGGAATCGAACCCAGGCCACATAGAGAGAAGACTCTCACATAGAGAAGCACTCTCACCACTGCGCCATCCCTTCTCCCCATAAAGAGGTTTTTTTTTTT